CCTGTAAGCTTCTGCTGCCCCCCTGAGAATTGTGAGTAATGTAGTCCAGTGTTTTCCCACATATACCTCTGTCAGGTGTCTTTGTAAGCTGCAGGCTGTATGCTTGCTCAGGCACCCTGAAGACTCAGTGCTATGGTCCAATGACCTACCCATGCAGTTCTCACCACAGAGGACTATCAGAGGTGCATATTTCCCTCAGGCATCTCCAGTGCAGCATTCTACCTGTACAGCCCTCATTGTGGAGGGCAATGTGAGCTCCAGGCTGCACATTCACATGGGCAAGCTCAGGAACTCTAGGCAGTGAAATCCAGTCCTCATTGCAGAGGCCTCTTGGAGCTGCAGGCACCTAATGTTCATGTAGTGTAGTCAATTGTTCTGCCAATGCATCTTTCACCCCAAAGGCTGGGAGCTGCCTGTCAGATACCAAGAGATACCCAGAGAACCCTGAGGATTGTGCCACTGCAGTCTGGTATTCAGCCCCCACCATGGAGACCTTTGGAAGCTTTGGGCCATGTGCTTGCCCTGGTATTCCAAGGAATCTTGGTAGTGTAGCTCAGTGATTTCCTGTCCAGCCCTCTCCACAAAGGACTGTGGGAGCTGTAGCAATGTTTGCCCAGGCACCCCAGGGATTCTGGGCAGTGTAGTCTGGCACAGTTATCACCACAGTGGCTTCTGGGAATTTCAGGCAGGCCACTCAACTGTGTGCAGACTTATCTAGAAAGCCCTGGTATTGTCTACAAAACTCATAGTCACATGGTAGGAATATCTCTTCAGTACAGCCATAATATTATTATTACACTGACTCACCGACTTCTCAATATTTTTCAAGTACTGTAACACTAAAAAAAGTTACGTAAAGGTAAATATAAACAATGAGGCAATATTAGCCCTTCCTCTCAGACACTAGTGAGATGCCACATGCTGGGAACCCCAGGCCTTCCCTGCACTACCCTGAGTTCATGTCTCAGTTTCTCCTTTCAGTATCCTGGGATTTCTCCCATAAAATGTACTTTAGAATACTATGACAATGAGTAGCCAAAGCCTCACAAGGGATACTTTCATAAAATTTAGTCCCACTAAAATATTACCTACAAAAGTAAAACACAGCAGAGCTTATTCCTCAGCACATGGGAGAGTGGGCAAGAGGCTTTTCCTCAGTCTTCCCCACCTTTTCCTCAGTAGACTTCAGTCCAAAACCACAGTGGCATCCATGTGTAGAGGCCAAGGGGGAAGAAATCTCCTGGTACACATGGTCCCTAGGTGACCCAGCCAAGGCATCTCCCTGTGAGGGTAACAAGGAGGCTCTGCCACAACAGTCATTGCTCCAAGGTGCCTTTAGCCTGCACCTGTGGCCTTTTCCTGGGTGAGGTCCCAAGTTTAAGTTTGAGTGACCTCACTGTGAACATGGCCACCAGGTGTCCTCAGCCACAGCATCTCCCTGTATAGGTCCCAAGGAAAAGGAACCTTTATCACCACAGCCATAGCCCCACATGTCTACAGCCATGGTCTCCCCTAGTGGACCACAAGGGTGAGGGTTATGGTAAGTCTTGAAAGTTAGGTTTACCTCACTGTGGACATAGACCCCAGGTATCCCCAGCCATGGAATTTCCCCAGATGAGTCCTGAGAAGAAAGTTTGCTGTGGGCACAGGACACCCATCCCTGGCAGACGGATGATACAAGGGGTTCAGAAAAAGTCACTCTGAGCACCCCCTGCTGGCCACTGTGGACAGTTGAGGATGCTCAGTGCTCACTATTCAGCAATGGCCCTGCGCCCCCTTGTGGCAGTCCTGGTGAAGCTCTGAAATTCATGGTTCTGATTTTACCAGGCCATAACTTTGGAAATCAAACGGCAATAGAATCCACCATTCCATGTTTGCTCGTACAGGATAAACAACAAAAGGCAAAATACACAGTCAATAAGCAAAAGTCAATTGATTTCTTATAAGTCATCAAAACTGTATAGGAAAAATTGGAATTTAAAAACTAGAATAAGAAAAAAACCTTAAACAATTCCATTTAAAATAGCACCCCCAGAGTTGAAAATTTAAAATATAAGTTTTTACTTACAACTGTGCTTTCAGAAAACCTTGGAAAATTGAAAGAAATCAAACAAAATATAAATAAATAGAGATATTTCTTGTTCACGTCTCTACATAGTCAAGATGAAATTCTCTCACACCTCATCTGCAGATTCAGCTCAATCACACTCAAATTTCCAGCAAACTGTTTCTGAACCAAGAACAGATAACACAGACTACAGAAGGACAAAGAACTCACACATCTATATTTCAACACCTGTCAGAAAGCAGAAGTAGTGAGGAAATGTGATGTTGTGAAGAAATGCACAGGTAGATAAATGGAGATGAATGGAGAGGCCAAAGCTCACCCATACCAACAGAGTGCTAATTTTGTCAAAGGAAAAATACCTTCAATGAAGAAAAGAGCATCTGCTACACAGATGGTGATGGAGTGCTTAGAAAATTTATAGGAGTAATGGACAGGGAAAACCTTTATCAGATTCACAAAATTCACTCTAAGTAGTCCATGGCTTACATTGAAAATGTGAAACTATAAAAATTGTAGTAGAAAATACTTATGACCATGTTTCATATTGAGTTTTTTAAATGCAGCTCCAAAACAAATCCATGAAAGAAAGAATTGATAATGTGGGCTTAATTAAAATTGGAATTGTCATTGGGCATGGTACTGCATGCCTCTAGTCCCAGCTATTAGGTAGCCTGAGGCAACTTAGCAAGGCCCTTATCTCTAAGTAAAAAAAATAAATAAATAAATAAGCAGAGCTGGGAGTATAGCTCAGTGGTAGAACACCCCTGGGTTCTATGCTCAATACCAAAAAAATTTAAATAAAAATATCTACTCTGAAAAAATTATATTAAGGGAACAAAAAATAAGCCACAGATGGGTTAAAATATTTGGAAAATACGTATCTAAAGTGGACTTGTATCCTAAACATGGTAAGAAACCAACCATCCAATTAAAAACAGGTGAAGATCTGAACTGACAACTCACCAAAGAAGATATGAAAATGGCAAAAAAGCATAGAAATGCTTCTCAGCATCCCTTGACATGAGGGGAAATGACCTACACTGCCGTGTTGGCACTACATGTGTATTAAGTGGCTACAACCTTCTTTGATGCAGTATCCATTGGAAGATGTAGAACCAGAACTCTCATTTATTACTAGTGGAATACATAGTTCATCACTTTTAAAAGTTCAGTTTTTTCCCAGAGTTATACATGAGCACACCACATGATTCAATATGAACCTAAGAATTTTAAATTGCTTAGAAAATATATCTTGAAAACATGTCTAAATACAGCATGCAATTACACAAGAAGTTCTATGCAGAATGGCCAAATAAATTAAGGAATCAGAATGTGCCTTAATGACAGAAATGCAGTACATTCGTGTGATGGAGGCCTGGGGTCTCTGAGCTTCCCCAGGCCTCTGACCTGGTCCGCCTGGGCTGCCCTTACTCTTGTGCCCCACACTGGGGCACAGAATTGGGTTCTGTATGGAAACACCTGTAGATGCAGTTGATAAACAGGCTCAGGATGCAGTTGTTGCCTATGGAAAGAGATTTTTTTTAAGTTGTACATGCATTCATTCATCTCAGGAAAATGCAGGCACAACAACCCAAGTCTGTATCTTTGCCTAGAGAACACCTGGAAAAGGACAGACAGACATGGAGGCAACTCCAGGATCCCCACAGGGCCACAATGGCCAGGGAAAGCCTCTAATGACAGGTGGCTGTCATTAGAGGTCCTGCCTCTGAGTATCTTGGAGCACTTTATGCTGCAGCTTTATACCCCCATCCCAAATTTTAATCTCATCTCTTTCCACAAGTTGCAATTCAACTGTATTTTGAGCTTGAATTTTTTTTTTTTACTTTTCTTTTTTGGGGTACTGGAGATTGAACTCAGGGATACTGGACCACTGAGCCACATCCCCAGTCCTATTTTGTACTTTATTTATCTGTTGGTACTGGGGATTGAACAAGGCCTGTGCATGCGAGGCGAGCACTCTACCAACTGAGCTATATTCCCAGCCCTGAGCTTAGATGCCTTCTAGGGAAAAAGGGTGCTGCAGAGAGAGCTATGCCACTGCCTAGCCCTGATGTAAAACCCCTGAAATTTAGTGTTCTGTTTATTTCCAACACATAAAATTTGCACATTTAAGCTAAAATGGAGCCCACTATTCCATGCCTTGATCTGAAAAAGATTTTGCTATAGTTTCAATGTTTGCATTCCACATTTCATGTGTTAGAATCTCAATCCCCAAAGTCCCAGAGTCCAGAAAGCCCAGGGCTGGACAAACCACCTCTCATACCTCCTCCAGCTTCTCCTCTAGCTATCTACAGTTTGGAACAGCCAAGGTGTCCCTTTTAATCTCAGAAGGAAAGGTGCATCAGGAAGGCACAAAAGAGGATGCTCCACATGGTCACCTGTGTCCATTGGGCCCAGCTGGCCCTTTAATGGAGTGAGGATAGAATAGGATGGGAGCCACAACTCTCTTCTCAAACACAATGAATTACAATTTGATGGAAAATCCACCCTTGTCTACTCTCCCTGGGCCTTCCTCAGCCATGTTTCCTTCTCAATACTCAAGGGAGATGCCCCACAGACACAATTATGTCAGAATGCAGTCATACCCCAATCAGAAGGCTATTGGGGTGCAGGAGTGTGACCTTGTGCACAGGTGGTGGGAAGGTGGAACACTTCCCTGTCTAGGGAAGACTTCACTGCACAGAAGTCACAGGGAGCTCAATTCTGATCTGTGACTGCTGAGCTGAAAAGACCCACCTTCAAGTCCTGAATAATTCTCAAATTCTCCCTCTAAACCAGGAAGCTGCCAACTACACTACTGAAGGATGGCAGTGGTTTCATCTCAGCAAAAAACTTAAGAAAATTCTTGATACCTCTGTTTTTTATTCAAAATGAAGCTCTATAACTTGTGTTGAAAGGTGAAAATCTGTACCTGTTCCTCATGGAGTGCTGGCCTGGCTCCCAAGGTACATTTCTTCCCAGATGCCCCTGAAAGTTCAAGTAGCATCCTTTCTCCCCAGAAGGCATCACAGGAAGCCCAGCTTTCAAGCCACTGCACTCAGAAAACCAACACAGCATTACATGCAGAGGCACCTCTGCCAGATTCCAAGGCCTGTCAACCATGTACTTTGCTTCTTGCTGTCTTCATCCGTTCGGATTACGGTGTGGGATGGTAGGCTCTATTTCTGTTTGAGTTCCAAAATCTTGGCCTGGAATAATCCGAAAAAATTTCAGAGCTTCACGGAACTGCCACGAGAGGGTGCAGAAGCACTGCTGAGCAGGGAGTATTTAGCATCCTGCGCTGCTCAGGCAGAGGGCGCACAGAGCCACTTTCTCCCACCCCTGTGAAGCTCCGATTTTGAGTTTAAGTGCTGAGGTGGAATGACTCCATGCCTTGTTTGTACAAGTAAACCACCACCACCTACCAGGCACAACCATAAAGCACAAAGTGATAAATAAGTTAATCATGCTAATAAGAATGACCACATGTGAACTTAGTGAATTAATCTGAAGCACGCGGATGCACAAGCTTATCAAACACATATTGGAAATCCAGGATCAGGAGCTCATCAAACATGCCAGACCATGGAGTAAAGCAACCCCTCATTTGAGATCCCTAAAAGGAGGCATGCCCTGAGACTGGACATTGTGGGCACCCTGATCCCATCACCTGATCAATTTTCATCACGAGCCTTGCCCAGGAAAATCACCACAGCAATAAACCTCTGAATCTCCATCCCCAGGCTTCAGCAGAGTACAACTTCTCCTGTCCATGATGATAGTACATGGCCCACTCCAAGCTGATATCTCAAGCTGACACTCTGAAACTGCTGTCTATTCTGAATGTTGGGAGTCTCCATGAGAACTCCCTGGGCCTTTCAAACATGGCGGTGGGCAAATTGCCAGTGGGTGGCTAGAACTCCCCGGGCCTTTCAGATAAGGAGCCCCTAATGCAACATGGCGGCAGGCAAGTTGCCAGTGGGCAGATAACAAGTTGTTTTGAAAATTTTCTAATTGGTCCTCCCATCTTCCGTGATCGTGGACAGCTGGTGCCCCCCATGAATCTTATGCAGGGTGGACATGCGTGCACCGTAGGTGATGATCTGACCTTTACTATGATTGGCCCCGGGAGCTTCCTGGTTTAAGATAACTGACTCTCACTTTCTATATAAGCTAGAACCAGCTTGCAGTAAAGTGCTTCATCTTTGTCACTGCTATCTGTGTGTGCATTTTGATCTCCGATGACGAGCCTTGGCCTTTCACTGAACCTGGCTCTGCACCCTGGACAAGTTCTATTTGACCACCTACAGTAATTCTGCATTTATATCTGCTTTTTGCCTTTGCAAAAATTGTGTAACGTGTGATATGTGATTGAGAGTTATAGATATTAGAAATTAAGTTGAAATAAAAGAACTTGTGTTTGCCTGGCTTATGACTACCCGGTTTCCTATAGATTTAATGCACCTTCTCCCTGATCTTCCAGCCTTCTCAGAGCCTCCTTTGCAATATCACAGCTCTCTCTCTCTCTCTCTCTCTCTCTCTCTCTCTCTCTCTCTCTCTCGGGCACAGTAGCACACAGTCCCTAGGAAGTGTTTGGCATAAGAGCTGATCTCATGGGACCTGGAACCTGCCAGGTGAATCAGTCACAGGCCCCTGTCCTAATTCCTGCTCACTCACAGCAATTTAGGCTTTTGGGCCATCTAGGCTCATGCTTAGTTACAAATGTCAAAATGAGGCAGGAGTATAGAGTTAAACTGGTGACAAAAGGCACTAAACGCTCTATGCTCAAGATGGATGGTCAAAAGCCCTAGCCAACTGCATTCATTGTTCAAAATTAAAAAAAAAAAAAAAATCAATTGATGTAACCAGATCTGACCACAACCGAAAGTAACCAGGTAACCAGGACTCTCATTGGAATTCACTTCCACAGTAAAATAAACACCTGGGGCAAGACTTAACGATTTGAGACACATTTATGATCATGTGCAAAACGGTGCAGGTGGACTAAGAAATTGCAACTTAGTAATGAATATTGCTATGTAACCTATAAATATGCAAGTTTCTGATCCACAGCTCTGTGTTTATCCTTTGCCTTCCTTGCCCTTCTGCCAGTGGGGCAGAGCCACCTCTCCTGGCTTTTCTGCTTATGAGTAATCACATTGCTATATTAATCAATATAAAAATTCTTTCTAACCCTCTCTTTATTAGTCCTGTTTGATTTCATTCCTTTAGCATGAGCTAAAGGACCCGCTGAGTCGGTGACAAAAGTTGAGACATTTGCTCAAATTTACCCATCAAAGAACTACAACCTGCAGCAACCTCCTGCTCATAAGCGTGCAAAAGCTGATGGCCCTCCCTCCACGCCCCGGAACCTATACCAGCCCGGCCCAAGGCCCCCGACCCCGACCCCAACCCCGACTCCAACCCCTACACACAGCAGCTGAACCTGGGCGCTCAGGAGCCCGACGCCATCCTTTGGCCGGCCGCCGCTAGGCCCTGCGCCAGCCACCCCGCGCCCTGGCGGGGTCCTTCGGGCGCTCTGCCGGGCAGCCCTTTTCGGGGTCCTTGGCGCGGTTGCGTAGCAGCTGCAGGGACGCTGCACAGCGGAAGCAGAGGGCGGTGCTGCGTGAGCTGGGCTGGCGGGTGGGCCCCGCGTGGCTACGGGTCCGCAGGGCGGTGGCGTCCCTGGTGTCTCCAGCCGTTTCCCTGGATCGCACGTGAGGACGAGGCCTCCCAGGGGTGCCTAGGCCTGTGGGACCCGCCCCTCGGAGGCGGTTCGAGGGCCCTGGGCGGAGGGAGGGCCTGGGAAGGGTTCTCTCAGAAGTGTTTGTCGAATGCAAGAGAGCTTGTCCCCTACATCTCGAGGACAGCGTCAGCCATTGAAGGTCTTCGAGCTCACAGTCATAGGTTAGGTTTGGCTTTCGTATAGGTCGCTGCGCCGCAGAGTGGAAGTGGAAGGAGAGAACCCTTACCATGCTCACCAAGCATCTGCCACTTCCCAGGCACTGCACTAACGGCTGAGAGCACTGCAGTGAGCAAGGCTCAGTTCCTTCTTATGCAAAGGCATTACAGTCAACTCCTGTGCACACCTTTGAACTCAGTGCGAGGTCTGCCCAGTAAGTAAGTGCGAATTAGTGCTGTTAGGTCATCATCAGAGTATCGTTTCTGTGTGCCTAGCTAGTTCAGGATCTTAGGAATGTTTGCAGTGCCATATTTAGGTGTGAGGGGAGTAGAACAGGCTAGAGATGATGTTGTATATAGGCGTTGGCACTGGATGGTGGTGGTGTCTTGCATATATGGGAATGTGAAGAGCAGCAGTTGTGATGGGCAGGATTATAGTACTTGTGTTAACATGTAACTTGCCTGCAGGCCTTTCATTTCCTATTTACAGGTCTGATGGTCAATTACATGTCTGAATCTGGCACTAAGGGAAGCATTCTCCATGTAGTTACTATTTAGGAGATGCTTGAAATTACTAGAGGTTTAAAAAATATCTCCTGTAGAAGAGGGTTTGGGGAATATCCATGTTGAGGAGAGAGAGGCAGCTGCTGAATGCAACAGGATGGAAGATTAGGGGGAGGTGAGAGGTGAGAGGGCAGATAGTCAGGAATGCGGGTTAGGCATCTTTGGCTATGTAGTATATGTTATTTGGTGATGAGAACTCAGATTGTTTTTGCCGTACAGTGTCTTGTACGTATCATGTGGCATGGGTACTATTTTTTGTCACTGTTTGATAAGAAAACCCATATGTTGAACTTGTAAAGTTTCAGCATGGCAGGTGGGAAGTGTGGCCTGAGCGTAATTGCACTAGGAAGATAACATAGAATCTTATGAGACAAGGTTACAACCCTGAGGCCTAGCATGTGGCAGTTACATCAGTGGTAAAGGGAGAAAGATGTGTGTCCTTGGGCTCCTTTCTCCCATCCAGGAGGAAGAAACAGATTTGGTTGAGGGTAGTTCTTATCTCTAATAGCAACCTCTTTTTGACCTTCCCAGACACTGACAAGATCATCTAGCTGGGCCTCTACAACTGAGAGCCAATGGCAGGGGATAGAGCCAAACCATGGGAGCTGGACCAAGAGAAATACGATGCTGATGACAACGTGAAGATCATCTGCCTAGGGGACAGTGCAGTGGGCAAGTCCAAGTATGTTGGGAGATTATGGAAAAACGACCAGGCCCAGAATGGATCTGGGTTGTTAGAAAAGTCCTCCATAGTGGCTTCTATGGGCTGGTGAGGGAGCAGTCTTGGATGGAACACAGGTTTACATGGAGGAACAAGGAAGCCACCTCAGCAGATGTGTGTGTTGAGGGAGTGGGGGTAAGTCAAAAAGACAGAGGAAATTTGGGTATTTCCACAAGTCCTGACTGAAGGTGTAGAGCAGGTTACCCTAGAGACTACTGACGTAATCCAGGGTGAGGATGTGAAAACTGGGGAACTTCTGTATGTGGTCTGTGGGCTGAGGGATTGTGGGCCTGAGACAGTGGGACTGGAAAGAAGAAAGTGACAAATTGGTTAAAGGTTGTAAAGATGCTTTCTTGGAGCAACTCCTGAGGCTGAGAAGTATGGATAGCAATCACAATCAATTTGCTCTATTGTCTTCAGTACCTACCTGATCCACTGTGGAACTTTCTGCCTAGAGAAGTGAGGAGAGGCTCTGCAGTGAGTGCTGGCTGCTTGTCCTCATGAGATGTGCCACTTCTCATCTGTTTGGGACTGGTGAGGGCACGTGCCTACTGCGCCTTCTCAGGATAAGGTAGCATTGTCCCTGCTTAGATGTCCCAGGAGCTCCCAGCCTACCTCACTTTCTGCCTTGGACTCAGGTAGCTGTGAATAGTTTGGTAGGGGCTTTGCTGTTTGCAGGCCATCTTCATGAATTCATGTTCCCTCTCTTCTCCACTCGATACTCACACACTGCAGCTCTACTTTGGTATTTTTATGGTTGCTCTGACCTCCTTAACAATGTCCTACACAACAAAAGTGAGGTGGGTTGCAGTTTAGGAAAGTTATTCAATAAGTAACAGTCCCTTTATGCCCACTGGAGTCTAGAACTGATAAAAGAGAACATGATTAGAAGGCAGGTGGGGGAGTAAATTGTCAGCTTAATAACCGATAGACATTTGGGGGAACATAACCTGGTGTGAGATCCAATGAGGTCTGCCTACTAAGTCAGTGATACCCAGCCCCCATGTTCAACTCCATCCTCACTTAAAATAGTACCAGTAAGAGTCTAAGTAGGGCTGGGGTTGTGGCTCACTGGTAGAGTGTTTGCCTGGCACATGTGAGGCACTGGCTTTGATCCTCAGCACCATACATAAATGAATAAAATAACAGCCCATTGACAACTAAAAAATATTTTTTTTAAAAAAGAGTCTAAGTAAGTAACAGGACATCAAAGATTACCATAGCAGTAATTTCCGTAAGGTTTAGAACACACGCTAGCCCCCTTTCCCTAGCAATATCTCAGGTAAAATGTTCCACAGGTAGAGACCAGGATGGCAACAGTATATCTGAAGAAAGGTGGGTAGGTAAGAAAAATCTTGGTTCAGTTTCAATGGGACTCAGGAACTCTATGCAAGTTTTTAATTATCTCTAAACCCAGGAGAAACTCTCTTTAAGAAACTAATTAATGGGCTAGGGTTATGGCTCAGTGGCAGAGTGTTTGCTCTGCATGTGTGAGGCACTGAGTTTGATACTCAGCACCACATATAAATAAAAAAATAAAGATGCATCAACAACTAAAAAGAAATTTTTTTAAAAGAAGCTAATTAATGCCCATGTTCCTCATATCTGGGGGCATCTATCTATGCACAGCCTCAGTTCCAGAGGGTAGTTTTGAAACTGTAATGCCTTCTTGAAGTTTAGAGATTTACAGTGCTGGCAGCACAGATCAACAAGCCTTCTTAAAGTGTCCTTTTTTCCTCATGTGGCATATTTGCTGTTCTATTCTAGATGCCATTTTCCCTATGAGCACCCCAGGACTCCATTGAGTGTGGGCTCTAATGATGTGGCTCCCACCCCGCAGGCATCCTGGGACCTGGTGCTGCCTCCTGGAAAGGCGGTCCCTTCATTCCTGAGTGTGCCATCTTTCTGCGTCAGATACTGTTAAGAGAAGAGATCCTGACAACACTTGAGCCAGCCAGCTCAAGAGGTCCTTCGTGGACCCCTTTCACTGTCCAAATGCTCAGCACTAGTCAGCCTGCTCCATATATAAGAACCTCCTTTGTTCCCACTTATCACGGCACCTGGCTGAGTTCACTTAACATAATGCTTTCAAGGTTCATCCATGACATAGACTATTCTTTTTATGGCAATAGTATTCCATTGTATCTACACGCCAACTTGTTTATCTGTTCCTCCTGAAAGGCTCATGAGTTGTTTGTACCTTTTGGATATTCACAATGTCTGTTGGACTCCCTGCAGTCAGGTTTCCCGTATACAACTGGGAGTGACAGTGCTGTGTCACATGGTGACTCTGTGTTTAATGTTATGAGGAACTGCCAGTTTGTCCTCCACAATAGCTGCATCATGTCACACTCCCACTGACAATGCACGGAGGTTCTGATTTCTCCACGGCCTTACCCACCTTCTTTTCCATTTCTGTGATATTAGTCATTCATCTCATTGTGGTTTTGATTTGCATTTCCCAGGACTAATGAAGCTGAGCATCCTTTGGTGTGCTTATTGATCATTTGTGTATTTACTTTAGGGAAATAGCCCATATTTACGTTGGGTTGTTTGGGGGTTTTGTGATGTTATAGGATGTCTTTATATATTCTGCTTACTAAACTCCTATCAAATATATGATTTACAAATATTTTCTCTCATTCTTTGGGTTGTCTTTTTACTTTCTTGATAGTTTCCTTTGATGCACCACAGTTTTTTAAATTTTTTTAAATTTTTATTAGTTATTGATGAACCTTTATTTATTTGTTTATATGTGGTGCTGAGAATCGAATCCAGTGCCTCACACATGCTAGGCAAGCACGCTACCACTGAGCCACAACCCCAGCCCAAGTTTTTAAATTTTATGATTCTAATTTACCCATTTTTTTCTTTTTGAGTTTTTGGTGTCATATTTAAGAAATCATTCCAAATCCATGGACATGAAGATTTTCCCTGTATTTTCTCCTAAGAGATTAATAGTTTTAGCATTTCGGGTCTTTTTGTTAATTTTTGTTAAGTTTTGCTTAGGGTGTGGTATAAGGGTCTACATTCTTTGTTTTGCTTATTTTTAGCACCATTTATTGAAGAGACTGTCCTTTCCCCACGGAATGTCTTGGCATCCTTGTCAAAAATCGGTTGACCACACATGAGAGGTTTCATTTCTAGGTTCTATTTTGTTCCATTGGCCTAACATCTACACTACACTTTTGATTACTACACATTTGTAGTTTAGGTGTGAAATCGGGAAATGTCAGTCCTCTAACTCTGTTTTCCTTTTTCAAGGTTGCGTTGGCTACTTGGAATCCCTTAGATTTCCATGTGAGTTTAGGATCTATTTTCTGTTCTACAAAAGAAAAAAGACATTTTGATTTTGAAAGAGATTGCATTGGATGTGTAAATTGCTTTGAGTGGTATTATCTACCAAACAGTAAGTCTCCAAGTTCACGAATGCAGATGTTTTCCCATTTACTTAGGTCTGGTTTGATTTTTCAGCAACATTTTGTAGTTTTCAATGTTGCAAGTCTTATGTCTCCTTGATTAAATTTATTTCTAAGTATTTTTTTTCATGGGATTATAAAAGGAATTATTTTCATTTCTTTCCCTGTCATTCATTGCAAGTGAATAGAAGTATAATTGCTTTTTGTGTGTCAATTTTATATTTTTCACCTTTGCTGAATTTTTTTTTATTATTATTATTACATATAACAGGTTTTCGGGTGTCTTTAATTGTATTTCTGCCTTTCTATTTTGGAAGAGTTTTGCTTCTTTTTCTTGCACAGGTATGCTGGCTGGAGTTCCCAGTACAGTGCTGAATAGAAGCATGAAGCAGGTGTCCTTGCCTTGTTCCTGATCTTGAGGAAAAGCTTAACAGTGTCCCACCATTGAGTGTGATGTCAGCTATGAGCTTTTCATATATGGCCTTACCCTGCTGAGGAATTAGACTGAAGTAAACAAAAGAATAAAAGAACTAAAATTCAAAAATAGAGAAAAAAAATCAATGAAACTGAAAGTTGGTTCTTTAGCTAGACTGATTAGGAAAAAAGAGGAAAGACAAATGTAGCTGAGGACATGAGTATTCACTTTACAGAAATGAAAATAATGTATCAAGACTATTGTGAACAACTGCGTGCCCACAAATGTAGTAACTCTTCTAGTTTACTGAGTATTTTCTCATGAAGTGATTCTTGATTTTGTCTTATCCTTTGTCTGCATCCATTGAAATGATCACCTGATTATTTTTCCTTCATTGTACTCAGGTGATGTATTGAGTTGATCAGTTTTCTTATACTTATATTCCAAGCACAAGTCCCTCTTGGTTATGGTGCATAATCCTTTTAATATGCTGCTAGATTTGAGTTGCTAGTATCTTGTGGTTTTTTTCTTGTACCCTCATTATCTAGCTTTGATCAAGGCAATGCTGGCCTAATAGAAAAAAACTAGTCAGTGTTTCCTCCTCTCTATAATTTTTGGAAGAGTTTGAGAAGGATTGCTGTAAACTCTTTAATTATTGCTAGAATTTACCAATGAAGCTATCCACTCCCGGGCTTTGCTTTTGGGTAGGTTTTTATTTTGATGCTGGATCTCACTAAGTTGCCCAGGCTGGCCTTGAATTTTTTTTCCTGCCTTCCTGTAGGTTACTTACACTTTTAAAAAATTTGATTTTTATTTATCTATAGTGTTTTTGACTGTACCTCTCTGTGTGGCTAGGTATTAAATATGTGGAGGCAACTTTCTGGTCACAGACGTTAGGAGTGAAGCATCATAACCCTGCCTGCTTTTACATCCCTTTACCCTCCCTTATTTAACTGTATTAATATTTCCTCTCCATAACTGAGAGCTCCCATCAGTGTTACAATGTTTGCTTTAACCATCAAAAATAATTTGAAATTTTCAAAGGAGAGAAGACATTGTATTATATTTTCCAGTATTTTTCCTTACCTTGTTCTTTCTTCCTGATACTCTGAGGTTCCTTCTTTTATCATTTTCCTTTCTGTTTCTAGAATTTCCTTGAGCCATTCTTTTAGGGTAGCCTGCTAGAAACAAATTCTCTTCTTTCTCATTAATGTGAAACAAAGAAAGAAAAAAAAAAAAACTTAATTTCTCCTTCACTCTCAAGAATTTTCACTGCATTTAGAATTCTGGGTTGACAGTTCCTCTCTTTGAATACTTAAGAATTATGTGCCCTTTCCTGTGGCCTCAGTAGTTTATGATGAGGAATCCTCTGTCATTTAGTGTTTATTCCCCAAAGGTAAGTAAACCTGGCTTCTCTCTCTTCCTCCCTCCCTCCTCTCCCTCTCTCTGTCTCCTCCCTCCCTCCGTTTCACCCTCTTCCTCCTTTTCTTTCTCTTTCCCATCCCTCTCCCTCTCTCTGTCTCCTCCCTCCCTCCCTTTCTCTCCCTCCCTCCCTCTCTCCCCCTGCTTTCAAGGTTTTTTTTTTTTTTTATTTTTCTGTGTTTCCAGAGTTTAGGAGCTGACTAAGCTGTGTCCTGTTGTGGCTTTCTTTGGATTTATTTTGTTTGACATATGCTCAGCCTCTTGACTCCATAGGTTTATGTCTTTTTCCAAATTTAGGAATATTTTTAAATGATTTTTTAGTTATAGGAGGTCACAATGACTTTATTTATTTTTTTCATGCAGTGCTGAGGATCAAACCTAGTGCCTCCCCGATGCTAAGCAAGAGCCCTACCACTGATGCATAACCCCTACCCGAAATTTAGGAATTTTTAAAATGTTATTTCTTCTATTTTCCAGTCTGGTCTTCTTTTTCCTTTCCTTTGGAGGTTTCAGTGACAAACATATCAATTTTTGTTCACAGGTCCCCTAGGACCTGTTCCCTTTTTCCACTCTACTTTTTCACTATTGTCCATATTGAGGGGTTTTTTTTTTCTGTGTTCTAAAGTAAAGTTTTGTTTTGTTTGGTTTTGTTGTAGTTGTAGTTGGACAGAATGCCTTTATTTTATTTGTTTTTACTTTTATGTGGTTTTAAAGATTGAAACTAGTGCCTCACACATGCTAGGCAAACATTCTACCACTGAGCTACAACCCTAGCCCCAGTAATTCTTTTAACATGAGTTATTTATAGGTGGTTTTATATGTTTGATCATCTTTCAATTCTAACATACAGAAATGGTTAAATTTTTAAAAAAATAGTCGTGTTAGTTGTGATGTGATCTTGATTATATCTTTTGGGGAAGGGTGGCTTTCTTTCTTTTTTTTTTTTTTTTCAGTTGGTGGTCAGTTATGTGAAAGCCAGAAAAGCATTCAGAGATTGGGGGTCTGTATTAAGCTTATTGACTGTGCCCACCACATTCACGTGTTTGGAGGGTGCCTGAGCCCTACTGCACCTCTGCTCTTCCCTAAACATTGGGGATACAGCAGCAAGATACAAACTTGAGAACTACTCTGGTCCGTAATCCGTTCTGATTGAGGGGGAATAAAATTACTAGCACCTCAGCTGCTGTTATGTACAAGGTAGAAAGGGAGGAAGGAATACAAAATGTATTAAACAAAGTCCTCAGGGTCAGTCTCACTGCCTGAGTGACGTTTGAGCAAAGTCCTTAGGACCTCCAGAATCTTGGGGAAGTAGCTTTTGAGTGGAGGATACAGTCTTCCTGGCCTCAGTTTCCCTGTACATAAAACAGTGTGCTGAAGTAGAAATCATGGATCTGAGAGCTTCACATGGACTGGTCTTATAGTGACACAAGTCCATATTGGGAACTTCACCTAGAAACCATGTGGGTGGAAGTTAGCAGGAGAAGGGAAGCCACATGGAGTTTTCAGGTTGTCAGCCTGGGGGTAATAAAGTAGGGACAAGAAAAGGACACTGCCTGATGACTGCCTTAAATACTCTCTTACAGACTCATGGAGAGATTTCTCATGAATGGATTGTATCCTTCAAGTCTGGAGATGCCCCTTGTTCCTACGACTCTTCCCACTCTGATGCATCTCAACCTCCTCCACCAGGGAAGAGTGGTGGGCAAATGAATGCCTGCCTTTTTCTCATTGCCTGCTCACCGGGTAACCTGCATGCCCTCACATGATAGGTGCATTCGGGTTTGGAACTTGCTCATATTTGGCTTTATTTTGTATTACGAAGGCAGTAAGAATGGCTGACAACACCTGATATGGATCAAATGCTTGGGTTCAGATCCTTCTTGGGCAGGTCCCTTAACCTCTGACCTGAGAGATCAGGCCCCATAATAAGTCTCTGATAGGAATATAGTCTCTTTGTAGAATATAAGCTTCTGTCTTCCCCCACTTCCCATGAATTGTTGCATGGTTTATTTTGGAATGAGGCCCTTCCTATAATGCCCAGGTGAGCCCACTCAGAACCAAGAGTGAGAAGACCTCCAGAGCCTGTTGCTCCCTCTCCTGGCACTGTGTAGCTGAAGGCAGGTGCTCTGGAATCTGAGTTTTCTGTCCACCTCATAGCAAGTGCTCCTCTACACCCAGCCTAACTGCTGGCTCTGCTAGTTACAACATCCAGCATCTTTGTGCTTCAGGAGGCATTATGCCCAAGGCTTTTTGTTAGGGTTTCACACGTAGGCAAACTTCAATTTATAAACAGCTTATCAGCTGTCTGATTTGTGGGCACTTTTTTCCATGGAACAGCCTTGTTGCTGCCTAGGGCTAGGGTTTCCTTTCTAGGCTACAAGGGTTCTGTCCATGCAGAAGGCATCCACAGTTGCATTTTTCAGCTCCATGGTGCCACTTATGACAGGTTCCCTGATATCCTGGCCCAGGCTTACTTCAGAGCTAGATAGCCAGAGCACACTCCCAAACCCTGCTGTCCTCACCCTTCCATTGGACCATGTGCCAGTGAGAGCCTCATTCTCCATCTCCAAAATTCATTCATTTAAAATATAAGTCACCAAAAATAAAAGAAGGGAAGGGGCCCATTCCATCACCCCAAACACCAAATACCTCCCTCCCTCCCTCCCTGTCCCTTCTTTAGCTCCCATTATTCATCTTTGCTCCTTAACCTGAGTGCAGCCAGCCACAGCAGCTGTCCACATATGCTCTGACTCTGTACAAGCACACAGCCACCGTGGATGGCAAGACCATTCTTGTGGGTGAGCAGCATAGGCCCAGGCCACACTGAGCCTCAAGGGGAAGGACGTGGGAGAGGAAGAGAGGTTTGAGGAGGTCCATGGAGGGATTCAGGGAGGGAGGAGGTGCGGGAGCCAGGGAGGGAGGAGGGAACACACAGGGACACACTGCTCCTAACCCCAGCATCAGGCCAGAAGCAGCATACAGAGGAAGGTTCAGGAAGGTGAACGTTGGGATTCTGTGCCTGCCAAAGGAAAGAGGAACACAGAGGCCTTGGCAAGGCAGTAGCTTTCCTCATTCAGGGCTTCTCCTTCAGCCAGTGTAAAGAAATACCCAATGTGGCCTGAGCATCCTCTCCCATGTGGATTTGACCTTCCATGAGGTCATGGCCTCTTCCTTGGCCAGGCCACTCATCCTGCCTGACTATTCACCACCTGTGTTCATGGCACTGGAATTTGAAACTTTGGAGGACCCTGCATCTTGAATGTGCGGATGAGGGGCACCTACCTTTCCTCTTCTGGGTCTTCCTGTCTGCATTATCCCTCCTCCGGGCCCCTGGCCCTGTGTCCCCTCAACACACACACCAGTGTACACATACCTCTCAGCACACCCAGTACGTGTCCTGAGGACATATGGAACTGTCTGAAGTTTCTTCCGTCCCATGTGCCCCATGCACTTACACACGACACTTGCCACGTGTGTTGTGTTTCTGCGTACAGATACCTGTGCAGAAATGTTTGGGGCGTGGGGGGTCTGCTCTCCAGCCCCATCAGGCAGTCAGAGCTGTGTTCATGTTACAGACTTTTGGGACACAGCAGGCCAGGAGCGCTTCCAGAGCATGCATGCCTCCTACTACCACAAGGCCCACGCCTGCATCATGGTATGAGACCAGCTGGGGAGGAGACAAAGGCACCGGGCAGTTCTGCCCTGAGGGGTAAGGGAGCGAGGGGCTCAGCAGTCCTGGGCTCTCCCAACCAAGCTGGTTCCTGTGGGAGAGGGGATCAGAACCTCCTAGATGCTTCAGAGCACACGTGCTTCCCGGAGTTTCCAAGTGAGAATATGCCAGGTAAGCTTGCCTCAGGTGGGAATGGGTGAAGGAAAGGTGAAGAACTTTCATTCTAGGGTGAGCAACACCCTCAGGGCTCCAGTGGCAGATCTGACAGAGACAGGGCCTCAGCCCGTCTCTGGTGAAGCACATTCCCTCAGAGAAGCCCCCAGAACCTCTGATGCTCCCCAGTGACCTTTCCCTCTCACACCAGCCCTCATCTTGTTCCCAGTGTCCTGCTCTGCTGTCTGGTCATTCAGGATTGCACCCAGTGGCCAGAGTATAGTGGACTCCACAGGAATACCCAAAGCAGCATGGAAGGACTAGTGAAAGGGGGGCCGTGAACACCTGTATCCTCCAGGAGTGCCTGTCTGTGGCTTCCCTGGCTCCTTTTCGGGTCACCATTCTTAAAGGCTAAAAAGGAGTGTGTTTTTATTTTGGGCCACTTATAAATTTTTTCATATTAGTTGTCTATAACACATGAAATAATAGACTGTTTGGGGGTTTTTTTGTTTGTTTGTTTTTGTACTGGGAATCAAACCCAGGGCCTTGAGCATACTAAGCACGCTTTTTTTTTTTTTTTTGTACGAGGGATTGAACCCAGGGGCACTTTGCTACTGAGCTACATCCCCAGCCTATTTATTTATTATACAAGGTCTCACTAAGTTGCTTAGGGTCTCACTAGATTGCTGAGGCTGGCTTTGAACTTGCGATCCTCCTGCCTCAGCCTCCCAAGCCACTGGGATTACAAGTGTGTAATCCCAGCACCCAACTAAGCACATACCTAAACTCTACCACTAAGCCTCATTCCCAGCCCAATTGACTGGTTTTACACAAAATAAAAACTTGGGTGACATAAAACATCAGTTTTATACTGGGTCAAGAACCAATAATGGGGCTGGGGATGTGGCTCAAGAGGTAGTGCGCTCGCCTGGCATGCGTGCGGCCCGGGTTCGATCCTCAGCACCACATACAAACAAAGATGTTGTGTCCGCCAAGAACTAAAATAAATAAATAAATATTAAAATTAAAAAAAAAAAGAACCAATAATGTTTGGGGTCTCAGCTGAGAAGACCCCCGCCCCCAGCACCTCCACACACACTGGCAGCCAGCTGGGCCACCAGCAGGTGCTGCTCCATGTGACTCCCAACACTTCATTGGTGTGGGCTGATGTGGGCTTGCTCACAAAGTCACCCAATACTGAGCACCCAAGGGGAGCCTGTTGAGAGTTATATTGCTGCAGTGGCCTCATCCTGCAGACCCTATGCCTCGCTCTGGCTGCAGTCTCTGGTTAGAGCACTTGGGTGATACGTTGCTACCACTATTGGTATTTGAAATCTGCCCTGCCTCCCATAGCTTTTTGTACCACCCAGCCTTCCAGCCCTGCCTTCTACTTAATGGCTACCTGTAGTATGCACAGACTCACCCTAAGCCTGAGTGGCTGTCACTTACCCATAAGGAGCAGCAACAGAGGACACGCAGAAGGAGTTGGTCACCCTCCCTCTCCCCTTCAGCTCCTCCCCAGTTCACAGCCACCCCTGATGTTGTCATTAGAGGTTCTCTTTCCCCTGTGCACCCACTTCTGGCACGTGGGCTCTGTGCTGTGCACATGCAGGTGCCAGTGGGCAAAGGCCCAAGTGCTGCTGCAGGAGCCTAGCAGCTGGCCACACTGTGGTGAGAACAGAGGAGTCTCCTCTCCTGCCCTCTGGTAAGAAAGGGCTCGTCACCAGACTTCTCCTGCAGTGCCTTAGGTACAGAACCTTTGAAGATTTCCTAGAGTTTTAATCCTGATAACTAATGGTACTAAACAAGAATGGTGCAGTAAAGCAGATAGGAGCTAAAGTCTGTCTCTCAAGAACCCAGAAGTTTACTTCTAGCTGTTGAGAGCCACAAACAAGTCAAGATGGCGCCTGGCACTTTGCCAGGAGGAGTGATTTGAGAAGTAACGCCAGCGAGACATTAAGATGATGTTAATTGAGTTAAGCTGTGTATAATTATTAAGATGAAGTAACGCCAGCGAGCCATTAAGATGATAGAGATTCCTTATTGGCTAATTGCTGTATCTGGATGATGTTAATTGAAACAAGCTGTGTATAGTCAGTTAAGTGTATATACACCTCTGCTGTCCTACAATAAGGCGGCTCCCGCTGTATCAACCTTCACAAGTTGCTTGTCACTCCCCCCACCCCCAGTTATTTTGCCCAGCCCAGCCGACTGCGGCACCCAGCCATCTCAGTTTCAGTCCTCTCACTTCTCTCTCTGGAAGTAGCCTTCTGCTTGTGGCACATCATTGGCTCCTCTCAGACCCTCTTCTAAGGGTGTTGGCCTGGGCTCCCACTGTGTGGCACATGCTCACACTTGACTGACTGGGTATTTTGAGTCACCTAGGTGGAGTGCAGAGATGTCGACATACCAGAACTGTCTTCTGTATCTTTTGCAGGTGTTTGATGTGCAGAGGAAGGTCACCTATAAAAACCTGAGTACCTGGTATGCAGAGCTTCGGGAATTCAGGCCAGAGATCCCATGCATCGTGGTAGCCAACAAAATTGATGGTGGGCCATCCCTGCACCTGGGTGACAGTGATGCATGGGACCCATCTCCATGTTTCCTCTCCTCTCCTAGGGCAGGCAGCTGTCAGCAATTTGTCCTCCCTTCCCAGTAAGGATGTCAGCTGAGCCATCTTTGCCCTCTTCCTAAGATACAGAGGATACAACCCTGATCATCTCTGCCCCACTTTGTGGCACAGGGCCCCCACTGACCCTCCAGTCCCCTCTCCTTTCCCTTGAACAGACAGGCCAATGCCCTACTTCTCTCTGCAGCGGATATAAATGCGACCCAAAAAAGCTTCAATTTTGCCAGGAAGTTCTCTCTGCCCCTGTACTTTGTCTCAGCTGCTGATGGTACCAATGTCGTGAAGGTAATGGGAGTCTACCAAAGCAATTCAATGACGGGGCTGGAAGAGTCAGGTGGCAGTCATAGGGAGGCTGGGAAGGAAAGGGATGAGAGGACAGGACCAGTGAGTGTGCACATGTGACAGGGCAGGGAGGATGTGATGGCCTGGGCTTGATGAGGCACAGATGCATTGGCCTTGCATGGGTTGGGGTTAGGTGAATTTGAGGATGAGTTGGCCGATTGTAGGGTTGGGTTTATGGCCTTCCTGCCCACTGCCACACTTTGTTTCCATCGCCATCCCCTCCAGCTCTTCAATGATGCAATTCGATTAGCTGTATCCTACAAACAGAATTCCCAGGACTTCATGGACGAGGTTTTGCAGGAGCTTGAGGTAGGTCAGGCCAAGTTTTGAGTGGGATAGACAAAGCAGGCCTTCTTTCAAAGATGTGGACTATAACACAATGTAGTGGCTTTTGATTGTCTTTAAATGTATCAGAACCACAGCTGGGCAAATGCAGGGCCAGGCCTCACCTGTGACCTTGTTCACAGAACTTCAAGTTGAAGCAGAAAGAGGAGGATGCACCCGACCAAGACCAGAGTAGCAGGATCGAACGCCCATCCCCCTCCTGATCAGAGGGCTGCCTCTCATGGCTGACTTGGGGATGTATGGGGGAGCCTTTGGGAATACCCCTCCAGCTCTGAATGGAAAATCTCCTGGCCACCCCTGCTCAGCCTCCCATAAACTCGCCCTATAATATAGGATGAGATTAGCAATAGCATCCTGGACAGGTATGTGGTCCCCCAGACCTGCTGGCAACAGAATTAGGGATTGGTGTCTTTCATACCTCCCATCCCACCCTGAGCTGGCCAGTGGAAGGAACCAGAAAACATAATTGGGTGTCTCTTCACAGTAAACACACATTTAGGTGGTTCTTGTTTTTTGTTTTTTCTTCCCCAGATTGACCTCAGGGAATGTACCTTGCATTTCTTACAAGAGAATGATTGCTATTCCCTGATTACCCCAGGCCCCCACTGCAGAATGTGTAAGGCCTTGTCCTTTTTCCCCTGTAGTCTCCTCAGTCAACTTTTTTAAAGATGTGTTTGAACAGACAGCTATTCATTCCAAGTTTTTGAGCACCTAAAAATTTCAGGAGCTCTTGTAGGTCAGGCCAAAATCACAGGAACAGGTTTGCCATTAAAATTAAATAATAGCAGGTAACAAGTCTAGCCATACTTGGTCATATAAATACACAAAGGAAAGTAAACAGTACTGGCTGTAAACAGCCAGACCATGAGAATACCTATTTTGATTATAAGAAAGCAACTTTCAGAACTGCTCCCTTTGAAGCCTCTCTATCAGCTTGGGAGTTATTCCTTCATTTCTCTAGGACAAATGAGATCTTGTGCCTCCCAGGGGTGGCCGAGGACTGCAGAGGAAGAGCTGTTCAGCTGCCTTTGAGCCATGCCCGTGTCCAAGGCTTGCTAGTGTGCTTTTAGGATCATCTTGGGCATCATTTGCATTGGGGTCCTTAATTTATTGTCTGTATTATTTCTGTGTTTACATTAAAGATTGAATTACAAAAAAAAAAAAGTATACATGTGTGCTTTATGGATCTGAGCAAAAAGACAAAACATATTATCAACCAATGAATGAGGGGAGTCTGCCTTGGTCTGCCATGGGGGAACCCGTGTCAACTTTTGACCAACTGTAAAGGAGACCATTTCAGTGGAATGCGGTATTTTAAAAAGAACAGGTATTGATTTGGGAGCTTGAGAATAAACATGTTTCCCCTTTAAGTAATTTGTACATGTTCAACTTAGATCTCAGCTGCTCAGGAGTTTTCATGAGGTGGAGTTTTTTTATTATTTAGTTATTATAAATGACTAATTGAGGGCTGGTTCGTTTTTTGCTGTGCTGGGGAACAAATTCAGGGCTACAAACTTCTTGTTGAGGTAGACTTCACACACAAAACTGATTCACTGTCAACACTGACTTTATGAAGCTGCTTTGTATCAGGCTTTCCAGAAGCAGACCCTGGGACGGCAATTGTTCAATGGCTCACTGGGGCGACAAGGAGAGGAGTGGGGAGGTTGGGAGGCAAGAAGCTGAGCAAGGTGTGGTCTCAGTGGAGGCCAACTTCAACCCTCCTCCCATCCCAGGGAAGCACTGCGGGCCAGACTGCCTCGGAGTTGGTCCTGCCTCAAGGCCAGGGTCTCTTGAGCCAGTCAGCCAGTCTGTGAGGTGGAAGGGGCAGCTTGCAGTCTCCAGGGCAAGTGGTTCCTGTTTGAGTTAGGGCCCCTCTCTGGGGAAAGGGCAGCTGTGGTTTTATCCATCAATGCTGAGTACCCATCCTCAGCCACTCACCTCTGTTGCTTCTTAGGCAGTTCATCTCATCCAGGCCGAGCTTCCCCAACATTCAGACCAGTCCTAGCTTCTGGGGAAATGTACAAACGGAGAGTCAGAGGGAAACCAGAGCCCTGCTGCTGCAGTTGGACCCTCTTGAAGAGAGCAACACCCTCTCCCTTTTCCACCACCACCCTCTGGCTAGCACTTCTGCCAGTCTAGGTGGTTTGCCTTGTATGGATCCTGCTCCTCTTGACTGAGGGGCCTAAGCCATTTTGAGGCAGTAGTTGCACTTAGAGCTGGATGTATGAGTACCAAGGTAGCAGGGTCACATGAGTACAAGTGCATGCTATCTGCCTCCATTATATAGCAACATCCTTCCTCCGAGTGAAGATTGGTAACCTCCTTCCAGAACGCTAACTCCTTTCTCTGCTTGCCAGTTTCCTAGCACGATCAGTGTTGAGGAAGCAGCTCTGGCTTTATGTTGTGATACTCTTACTCTGTCACTTGATGGAAATCACCTCCCCTACCAAGACCTCCACTCAGTGCCTACACTTGCAGCCCAGAACCACAGATTCCCTGAGTGTGTCATTAAGAGAGGGTGAGCAGGGCACTCCCATCTCCATCCCTGGCTACTAGATACAGGACACGAAATCCTACACAGATGGTTGAGTTGCATACCACATTCTGAAGGGCCTGTTGTGGTTAGAATAGAAGATGTCCCCAAAGCTCGTGTGAGAGAAAATGCAAGAGTGGGTTAGGAGAACCTTAACCTAATCTGCTCTTAACCTGATCAGTGGATTAACTGGGTGGTAACTGCAGGCAGGTAGGTGTGACTGAAGGAGGTGGATCACTGGGAGGATGCCTTTAGGGTATTTATTTTGTCCCTTGTGAGAGAGCTCTCTCTGCTTCCTGATTGCCATGTCCTGAACTGGTTTCCTCTATCATGCCCTTCTGCCTTGATATTCTGCCTCCTCTCAGGCCAAGAGTAATGCAATTGGCCATCTATGGGCTGACTCCTCTGAAATAGTAGGCCCAAATAAACTTTCCCTCCTCTAAAATTGTTGTCAGGTCTTTTGGTCATAATGGCAAAAAAGCTGACTAAAACACTTTGTATTTACTTATTTATCAATTGACAGGTAATTTTATATATTTACAGTTCTGCAGACTATTGTGCACCTGACCTCTTTGGTCTTGCTCTTCTCAGGCCCCCTAACAACCATCTGAGACTAAAAATCTAGGAATACCCTAACTCAAGCCACTTCCCTCTACACAGTGCATGGCCTCTTGCATTGCCAAAAGCTCTGACTATTGGGAAGATTTCCCCTTACCATCATCTTTCAGAATCATCATCCCAAAGGGCGCAGCAGTCCATTTGTGGCAGTTACATACTGAGCTAACAGACCAGTAAATCTCTAAATTTTACCAATGTGGCAGGCTCCAGAATATTTGTAGGGCTTACCTTCCACCCTCTGGAGTACACACAGCTTATCAAGGCATCTGGAATAATTAGATCCCCAGGCCCAATTATGCAGCTATCAATATAGTGAATGGAAATGATGTTCTATGGGAGATCAAGGTGGTCCAGTTACCTTCAGAGTGTGTTATAAAAGAGTAGCAGAATTATCATAGCCTTGGGCAGAGCCAAGAACATGCGCAATTACACAGCTCTTGATCCCAAGTGAATGCAACAGCTTGTCCTTTCTGGAAAATAATGCATTTTGGGGGGAGCAATAATCACAGTCCATATTTCCAAGTTTCTGTTATTCCACTCCAGTAAAGACACCAAATCCTGCACAACAGCTCTCATGAGGCTACTTCTTGTTAAGTTTTAGGGAGTCTACTCTCATCCTCTATGAGTCAACCACTTCTTGTAGGGGTCAAATTAAATGAATAAATTATATATATAATCCTACTACCCATAAATCATTTTTAAATGATTCACATAAAATTTAAAAATTCACATAGCATTAAATCAAAAGTTCCATGCATATAACACAGTCACAATATTGTATAACCATCACTTCTAATTCCAAAATATTTCCATCACTTCAAAATGAACACCTTACTATTTAATCTGTGTTCTGTCTCTGTGGATTTGTATATTCTGGATATTTCATATAAAAGGGATCACACCATATGTGACTTTTCGTATCTGGCTTATTCCACTTAGCACACTGCTTTCAAGATTCACCCACATAACATGTTCTTCCTTCCTTTTTGTGTCTGGTTCATATCCTATCATATAACAACGTGTTATAGGATTTATATATTCATCTGTTGGTGGACATTTGAGCTGTTTCCAATCTTTATCTACTAAAAATAGTGGTGCTAAGAACACCCATGAACATGTACTTGCATGAGTACCAGAATTCAGTTCCTTCAGCTGTCTTAGTCAACTCATTCTATTACAACAAAATATCACAAACTGGTGGCTAACAATAGAAACTTATTTTTCTCACAGTTCTGGAGGCTGAGAACTCTTGAGATCAAGGTACCAACAAGGTTGGTGTCATTCTGAGGCCTCTTCTCCTGGCTGGTAGCACCCCTACGTGCTCATGATCTCTGTTCATGCAAGCAAAGAGAGAGATCCTCTCTCTTCCTCTCTTCAGAAGGCCACACATTCTGTTGGATTAGGACCACCTATGATCTCATTACCCTTATTGCCTCTGAAAGGCCCATCTCAAAATATTGTTACCTTGGGAGTTAAGCTTCATTCTATGAATTTGGGAAGGAGTAGGGGACACAATTAAGTCTATAGCAAGATGCGTATCTAGGAATGGAATTACTGCTGGGGTTGTGGCTCAGCGGTAGAGCACCCACCTAGCACGTATGGGGCCCTGGGTTCGATCCTCAGCACCACATAAGAATCGATAGAATAAAGGTATTCTGTCTAACTACAACTAAAAACATATTAGAAAAAAAAGAATGGAATTACCAGGTCATGTGATAATTCTATATTTAGCCTTGTGAGAAACTGCCAAACTGCTTTGTGTAGTGGAACCACCATTTCAAAGTCCCAACAGGCATTTACTTTTACAAAGCCTCTCTGGTAGTATCTGCTGGTGTTTTACCATGAACATTACAGTTCTAACACTGCTGTTTTGCCCTTTCACATGTGTCTTTATTCGATTTATGTTCATCATAAGAGAAACTTCCTTGTGGTAGGTACATTTTAGAAAGTTTTGAGTTTTTAATTAACATATGAAGTTTTTAAATCTTGATTTTTTTCTATGGATCTTTTTTTACTATAACATGATGGGTTTAATATAACAGGTGAAACAACGTGTTAACTATATGATATAGTTCATACATATTTAATTCATAGTTGTTTGAACATGTTTTAATTTTTAAATATACCTAAGATGTGACTATACACTAATATATAGTAATGAGCAGTGACATATCAGAAAAAAAATGAACAAATAAGGAGATTTTCATCAGTGGCCATTCATTATTTTGCTTTTTGGAACATGGGTCTTCTTTGAGTTTTGAATATGCTGGTGAATCTAATTTCTTAACTTCCTCAATATCACCAAGAATTGTTGGAATAAGTGACTCTAAATAGAAAAGTACTTTTCTGGCATA